ATGACCCATAATCACAGTCACTAACCTTTAAGAGTTTGACAACAAATTAATTGTACATTTGGATTTGAAAAAGTAGATTTCAACCAGATGTTCAAAAAAAGGTCATAAGAGGGAATTAAACAAATCCTCTGTGGGCCTTAGTTCTCAGCACTGGCCAACATTTATCTTCTGAAAGCTGGTTTCGTTTTGCCAACTGTTTAACTGTGATGAAATGGCGCATTTCCTCACGTCACACAAGCCTCTGCTCTTGAGGTAGTAGGAGTCTTTTATTACCTGTCTGATGGTTTTGTTCAGACCATCCAGTTGGTGAAATCAGTGATTACAACCAGTTTCTTGAGAGCAACCAGGTGTGATTGTTAACATATATACCTGATTTTCATGCTTAGTATTTTGGGATTCAACTGATAAAGAAAATCTACCTCAAAAGCTTTTAAAAGCATTCATCATAAAGTTTCATGTTATTCCTTTGAGTCTATTTCCTATTTTATATAGGCGGCAAAATAGCGGGCTGTGTAACGTCTAGAGAATGTGCAGTGTGTAGCTCGGTACATCATGAATGTTAGCAGCAAGGTTGTATGGTTTGCTATTGGAAACAGATGCTATCTCCATTTAAGATACATGAGATTTGTTGTTACTGGAGGATCAGGTACAAATGAAGCAGCAGTGAAGTTTAACCCTGCGACCATCACGTATGACGAGGCTGACGTCCTGCTTTGTGCATATTCAGTAGCTAAGGAAGAGATGCATGGCTGACAGTGTTGCTAGGAGACCACACACAGCGACTAGTGTGAGAGGCTTGATTTCACCTCCCTCCCCCATTCTTGTAGACTGGCTGCCTTTCACTGTTTTTCTGTCCTCTCCTCCTCGCACTTGCCTCCATTTGCTTATTCCCTCCACTCTCATACTCCCTTCCTCGATATTCCCTTCCATCAGTCAGTCTCCAGTTTTCCGCCTAATCATATTTATCGTCAGCCCGGTTGATCCCTCGGTGACTCTCCATTTATTGGCTTCCCCCATTTTTCACCGTCCCCCCCTCCCGTCTCTCTCCCACTGCCTCGATTTCTCCTCCTCTCTAGCTGCGTGCCTCTCAAGCTGCTCATTCTTCTCCTGAACGTTTCGTTCCATTCTCTTGCACTGCTTCCTCTCTGCCTCTCTTGTCCTCTCTCCCTGTTTCTTTCTCTGGCTGAACTGCATCACTGTGTCTGGACGGAGTGCGGTGACTGTTGTGTGCAGGGTGGCTGCGGGGTCAAGTTATGGTACTATAAAGCAGTGGGCAGAAACATACTGTGGTGTTGGGGAGTAACTGAATAAACTCAAGCAAAGGTGATCTTGTGTTTTGAAAAATACGTAATCTACAACATTGATAAAATGAGACGTAAACATGTGTGGACATACAAGATTCTTCTGTTGTCTTTCCTAAATACTGTCATATACTAAGTTATAAAGTTTAATTGTGCTTATTTGCTGTTTAATTCAGCCTCAAAGGGGATGCAAATCCGAACATCCTGTTACATATGAGAACAGGTCAGTCCGAGGACTGAATGTGTAGAAGAAGATGATGTGTATAATGAACAAGATGTTCTATCTGCCCTCTCAGTCTAATTGCTTCTGTTCAAGCAGCTTTGCAAAGACAAACATATCTTATGAATGCTTTCACTGTAATCATAAAATGAGGCAAGTTGTTTATTTGTTACAATCTTGTTTCAAATCATAGTTTTTGTGGATGTCTGCAAAACAAACAACAAAGGTATGATATACTCAAGAGTAATTAAAAGTGTGTTTTGAATATGTCTTGTTGAAATATTGACCCAATGTCAAGGCCAGGCCAGTGCTGTGATGTGTCCCTCCACTCTGCAGCGTTACTGCCACACTCACAGAGAGGTGCAGCAACACCACAGTACCACTTGCTGAGGTGGAGGCTGAATGGCAGCAGGCTGCGGCACAAAGCGTTCCAGAAGTGTTAAATAAAAGACGATTTTAGACTGAAGGTACCATAAATGTACAGTCAAATGAAATTCTTTTACTGCATAACATTTCACCCATAACCTTGCTCTTCCAGCGATGATTCTTTAGATGTTTAGAATTTCCACATTCCCTGTCATCATTAACCAACACACAAATCAGCTGCTGAGCATTTGCAATTTCCGCTTCACACCGTGTGTGTATGTGTGTGTTTAGCATGTATGGCGGATTTGAGTATGTCTGTGTGATCTGTTTGCTTATGTGCATGAGTGAGTAGTCTGCAGCATTGCATGCAGATCCAGCTCTGTGAATCATGGCTCCATCTGCCTCCTGGTTCTAATGAGAGAAATTCATGTGGCTCCTGACCCTACAGATGCTCCTGAAACAACTTGCTAAATGCTCTGAATTTATTTGGGACTTAAAGTGACTCCAGGGATTGATTACAGCCAACCTATATGAGTGTACTGCATGTCTTGTGTCCGCCTGTAAAAATGATGTTAGTAGCCCAGTTTGATTAGACAAACCTGCCTGTAGATGTAAGACAAGGGTCTCCTACTTTCTTTCACTCGGCTAATTGCACATCAACCCACAGCATGTAATGCGGCAATTGCAGGGCTGCCTGCTCAGCTGCCAGATCCTAGAAACCCAAATCAAAGCTCCAGTTAACAAAAGCCCAACCTACAGTTGCAGCTCCCTAACCTAATTAACATTGAGTCAGCAAGCATGGCAGCGGCAGTGGTCGAGGTTGTGGTCAGGGCTGTGGGATACAAGAATAGCAGTAGCCACGCTGACACACTGGAGGACACACTGGGCCGTGACAAAAGAATCACACACAGCTACACAGCTCAACATGCCGCCTGGCCCAGGTGACAGTGCCTGATGCTCCCACTGTGGATTTTTTGTTTTTGTGGTCTTTATAGTTCCAACAGTAAGGATGCTGTGCAGTCGGTGGTAAATGTGGTCTAAGTGGTCCTGAATATGTGGATTAGAAGAGCTATTACACTGCTGGAAAGTGTAAATGTCATGTATTTTTATACTTATTTATACTTTTTTATGCTGCTTGCATCCTTAGTCAAGGAGTATAAAAGCATAATCCAGAGCTCATTAAACTGGATTCACGTGCAGTTTCATTGTTACATGTTGTGATTTTAAAAAGTCTCAAGCAGAGAACATAATTACTTTTTATGATATTTCAATATTTTTTTGTTTTCTGCTTTGTGAGACAGGAGAGCCTGAAATATATGCCATTAAAATGACTAACCAGCAATGTAGCAAACCAGTGGTAAAATGTACATTTATTCACATACTAAGTACAAGTTTGAGGTACTTTATGTGATATGCTGTTTTCTACTTCTACTCCACTATATTGAAATATTGTACTTTTTACTCCACTACATTTGTCTGGCAGCTTTAGTTAGGCTACTAGTTACTTTACAGATGAAGAGTTTTACACACAAAACGAATCAAGAATTCACAAAATCTGATGTTTTTTACTATAAATTAATCTGACCAACAGGTTAAACAAGTGGAATGATTAATCCATGAATCACTTAGTTGGTTGACAGAAAATGAATTGTCAATTGCTGCTTTTCCTTTTAATTATTGTAATAATAATTTATTTGTAATACTTTTGAGGTTGAGACTATTAGTTGGACTAAACAGAACATTGTAAATGTAAATGTCACTTTGAACAGTAAACCCAGCTTTTATATTAATGCATAAGTAGTACTCATAGTGATACAATATATAATAGTGTAACAGTCACTGGAGATGTTTTTGTGCATTGAGTGCTTTTAGTTTTAATACTTTAGTTTAGTTGCACAATAATACAAAGCTAAATACATATATTCATTATTATTCAAGAAAAACAAAACAAAAAACACTTTCAAACAATCTTTCACACACAAGCATAAATTGTAGTAAAAGAAAAGAACGAGAGAAAGAAAACAGAAAAACAAATCTGTAAGTAGAACCAAGGAAGCATCCTGCCATAAGGTTCAAGATGAAATGAGAAACTTCTTGATGATTTCATTGTTATATTCAATTAATCCCATTACTGTGGACCTCTAAATTTGAAGAAAAATGATATCTTGTTGTACATTAGGGTAAATTGAAATTTTTGTCTCGTTGAATAAGTGTGAATGTGATTGTGATTATGCTTACATACTTTTACTTGAACAAGATTTTCAATGCAGGTATTGGTATTGGTGGTATTATTATTTTTGCTTATGTAAAGGATCTAAATACTTACTACTGATGCACAAACACACATATACTGTGTGTAACTGATTCCGTTTTGTTCACCATCAACGTTGTTCAACTGAAAACAAACTGATGCCAAAAGCACCAATGATAATGCTCCAGTGTCCACCAATGAAAACGCATTCAAACTCTGTTTCTATTTATGATGGAAAAACACAGGAAACGTGCATCAGCTGACAGCTGCTCTTTTCTTAGCCAATTGTGTAGCACACTCACATTCTCCAATGTGAAAACACTGTTGGGCCCTCAGATTTCTGCCCCACAACAAGCCTGACTTCTCATGGGGTGAGCGTGAGTAGGAAGCTGTGCATGCGCTACATATGACAAGCCACATTACTGTCTGGCTAGCAGACAGGCTTAGCTAGGCCATCCCAGGGCCTGCAGCCAGAGACGCTCTGCAGCTGAGTTACCATGCTTACTCAAATATTCATAACTGGATAATGCAAATATAAATAGTTTCCATGTGATACGCTAGAGGTTGGGGTAAACAAAACTGCAACCTCCATCATCATGCATCACTGTGTCTCTGCTTTGAAGGCTGCCAGTTAGAGTAATGGGCAGGATTGTTTGCTATGACACAGTGAGCATGATAAGCTACGACTCCCCTAAAGTTCTGCCAGTAATTTGGGTTTGATTATTTGGGTTTCATAGTGTGCATCGATATCACAAAGTAATCACTGTCAATCTTGTCAGCTGCAAGTGGGCTGGGAAGCTGTTAAACGTGTTTTTTTAATGATTAATGAGCTCAAACATTGCCCTTGTTTCTTCTTGTTTAGGTGAATTGGAGGAGGCTGCCTGTGACATACGTCCCCTTCTCCCGAGTCCGCTTCTATACCATGCACTCTGGCTCTGCCCAGGATGTGGCAGTCGAGCATTTCCTGCGTGACATAGAGAGGCGAAGCAAGCGGCTACACTGCGCTGTGATAGGCTGCGAGGAGGAGCGACCCCGCAGCGACATGAACCTGCTGTATCGTAAGAGCCGTTTGGACTGGAGGCAGAGGGACCAGGAGGGAAGTAAAAAGAGGTGAGAGGATCAGCTCACAGGAGTTATATATAAGGGATTACATTAGAGTTCAGTTCAGTGGGGATATAAACCTCTTAGCGGGCGTGAATGAGTTTAATTTCAAAATCTTAATTCCAAGCACAGTTCATGAAGTCAGAAGGGTTTGCCTGAAAAGTCTTGGGCAAATTTGCATAGCAGAGCTTCATAATGAAGTTAATATGTTCTGTAGATGAGATAAACTACTATAATGTCAGCCAAAATGTCAGAGGGCAAAAAGAGGCCAAAACTGATGAAAACGAAAATTAAATAGCGTTGTTGCCTCATTTGTCTCAATGATATGAAAAAAGAATGTTTCATGCACAGATGAAAATGCTGCTGCAACAGTAAAATCATACTTACACACTGATGCATTAGTATTAACAATCTAATAATGTCATATATAATGATATAACGCTCATGGGGGCGCATTTTTCTGCAGAATCAGTACTTCTACAATTATATTAAGATAATACTTCTGTACATGAACAGAACTTGAACATAGGTCTTAAACTTGTAATATACATTGTTTTATTGGTACTTTTACTCAAGTACTTGTATTTAAGTAAAGAATCTGAATATTTCTTTCACCACTGCCTGCCAGCACTCTTTCAGTAGGACCTCTAGAGTTTCTCAGCCATTACAATGCAGTTAGCGGGGGTCCTGAGGGTTAATGTAGTCCGATACAATTACTAATGACCTGTTTAAAATGTAGTCAGTAACCTAATCCAGGTATCACAATATTAAAGTAATGTAACTTGATTACATTATGTTACTTTTGGATTCCCTCAACATGAAAATGAATATGCAAATAAAGACAAGAGAAAAGAGCAATAAGATTGTGTATTGTGTATAAGACAACAGAAGAATGTGACCAAGCTTTTTATCATGAAAATGTGTCCTCTGCTGAGTGTATTTTAAAAGAGAAACTATTTTAAAATTGTAATCCTGCTAATAATACCCATTTTTACTAAATGTAACTGTAATCTGATTACATACTTTTTCTGTAATTACCTTTTGCATATCCTGATTACGTCACTGAGTAACATGTAATCCTTCACTCCCCAAGCCTAACAGTGAACTGCTGATGTATCAAGGTTCAAGGTTTATGTATATATTTATTTATTATTTTACAGCACAGGGTTGCGCAACAAAATGCAAATGTTTGTCCCTTTATATATTAACAAGAAAAATAATTCTTATGATGGAGTACGGCTGATGGGTCCAGATTCTCTCCTTGAACGTCTTCCAGCAGTGAAAAATAATCATAATAAATCACACCACAGTGCTGGTCTTTTCTCAGCCTCTTATGAATAATAATAATAGTAATAATAATAAAAATGATCGTCGTAGTAATTAAGTCTTAGAAAACATTTTAACGTGATTTTGAGGTCAAATTAAATGAAATTTACTTCAGTTGCATTTTTCACAAGCAAATTAAATTATGATAGGACTAATTCAAGCACTTCACTAAACAGGTATCAACAACATAACATCATCAGAGTATTGTCTTAAAAAGTGTGTGCATGCCTGTGAGTGAATGATCTTGTGTATCTCGGCGTGTGTTTCGGGGACAGAGCAGAGATGTGCTGTTCAAATGTGAGTCACCTATAATTCACCCAATTCCACGCTGTGTACGGGGCTATTTATGCTGCAGAGGAGAGGGAGAACATCAAAGACAACAATTCAGTTTGTTTAGATGCGCCGTCCAGTGCTTTCTGACTCACAGCGGTAATTGGAGGCCCTCTTTTTGGCAGTGGAGATCAACGTCATGGCAGCATCAAGCCAGTGGAGGTGTGTAGGGCAGCAAGTGGGACAGCGGGACATGATGAGCGATGAAAGCAGAGTCAGAGCAGCAGAGCAGCAGAGGTGAGAAGCAGGACATGACCAGTGATGATTACGAACAGGGCAGGGTCAGGGATGAAACCGCACAGGGATGGAGGGATGGAAAACAAATGGACTTGAGGCAGGACCAGCAAGAGCTGGTGGGAGTGAGGGAGGCGGGGGGGGTAGAGGGGCAAAGGAAGCACTATGAAGGGCACTGGTAGACAGTTTGAGATCTCAAGGCCCCTCCGGAGAGGAATCACATTTATAAAGCAGAGACGGCTGTGGAGATACCGAATTGTAAATAGGTGAGTTTCAATATGAGTTTTAAAAATAGAGTTTTTTATGGCACTAATACAGGCAGACAGACTATCCCCAGTAGTGTAGACTGGTGGAAGAAAACCTTGCTCACAGCTGAGGTTTTATTAATTCTTGCACAGAATTATGAGACCAGTGTGAATGGGCTGCCATGGGTGCAGCCTGGCACCTCCAGTGTGTATGCAGAGATATGGAGGACTAAAAAAGCCCTGCTAATCGCTTTAGAGCAATTACATCGATACTACGTTGATATTCAAGTAGATTATCTGACAAAGAGGGGCGTTTAAAAGACAAATGAAAACAACATGATGTTAATCACAAAGGGATTCATAATATCAAGTCCAATTATGGATAATTACATTACAGATAATACATACATAAACAAAGGCATTTCTAAAAGTTGACCGTACAGCTAATCAAAAATAATGGTGTGAATGAGTGAATACTAAAATAAACATAATAGAATTGTATAAGGCGTGATACAGTAAAAGGGGAGTATTATTTTCTGTTTGCTTTCACCAGTTTCTTTATTTACATTTCAACTCTGGTATCAGTTAGTTTGAGGTCTTGTTATGGCAACATTTTTACAATAAATGAATACTTTTTTTGTAGTCTTTTTAGAGATCCCAGAATGCAATTTATAAATTGTTGTGTGACCTCTTGGTTCAAGCAGGAGAAATAACTTCTGCTCAGTGCTTAAGAGGAAGTCATGTTGGCTTTACAGCGTTGATGTGATAAAATGTGTTTTTGGGAAGAGTCTCTGAGTTGATAGAGTATAATAATTTTCCAGTATGGATACATGATTTTTTTAATGCCTATTCATGCTCGGCTGTTGTGGGTATGATTATGGGTCGATGTTAAATGGATGAAGTTGATTAATAGTTTTTGTCCTTTTTAACAGATTTAAGTCAAAACAAGGGCATCTTTACATTTGGAATCTACATTTCACTTCATTTTATTTAATGAGGCTGAATAAAATGTAGTTCTTTCATGCCATATACAAATTCATGTCAAAGCTAAAATGATATGATATTGTATCAACTCATTGACCTGTTACTCTGTATCATGAATCACTATTGAAAACTATATATTTAGATAAACAGGGGAATCAGTCCAAGATTCACATCCCTATTATATTATTGTTTGTATCTGTACATCAAACACACGGGAGAGGTATTTATTATCCAAACCTCAACATCTTCACATGCTTTGAAGCACTCCCAAAAGCTGTTCATTCAGTTTTGTCATGAACAGAGAAAAAAATATTCCTTGTTACATAAATACAAACTAATAAAAAGTCAATGTCTAAAACTACTCATGAGTTTCAGGCAGACAAAGACAAGCATTGTCTTGTTGTGGACGCTTCAGGTAGTTATTACCTGTGTGGTTATTCATTGTGGAGATGTAATTATAAATGGAAAACTTATTTTGGTCGGTCGCTTTAGGGGCACCTACAACTGTGTGTCACTGCTGGTAAACAATACTACAATAATACTGTTAGAAGAATCAATAGGCAAATTGCAAAGGCAAAGCTTGTGAGCTTCATTGCTTTGGGTCAAACCACCATGCAATTTCACTTTTTATGTAATTTTCTTTCCTGATTCTTCCAGATCAGTTTCAAACCATGTTAGAAACAACCCATAACTTAAGGCAATCAATTAAAGTGTCGTGTATTGTGTCAGATATGTCAGTAAGGTCCAACAGAATGAGGACAGCTACACACTCAATGTCAGTTGCTCAACCTTATCTTATCTCAAACTTTAACAAGAGACGACATAACTGCTCTGATTTGCCCTCAAACCAGATTGGATGTTCTCAAAGATAATATTTTTTTTACAGATAGTCTCATTCAGCTGTTTAAACATAACCCACTCTTAAACTTTGCCCCAAAAAAGGTAAATTAGAAATAGGACGTTAACTGCTAGGGGCAGAATTATCTAAACTGGATTTCTTGAGCAAAAGCTTTATCACCGCAGCCATAAAGGCTTTTGGGAATGTCTCGCACTCTGAGGAGGGGCTGGTTTTTCAAGAGTCTGTCCATGGATTAATCTGCCAAAGGTGTTGTTCAGAAGGTGCAGTGGGTGACAATCAATTAAAGACGCTTTGGCAGGTACAACGATGTACGATTCTCACTGCTTCTTTCAGGTGCTTGTTTGGATGACTGTGTAACCTTCATCTGCTGGCAGTCCTGTAATAACAAAGACAGAAAATGTTATCACAGCACAAAGTTGTTGTTGAGTTTGAGAGTACTGTGATTGTTGAGTTTACTGTGATAAATGATTTGTAGATAGGCTACATCAAATCTATGCAGGCAATTGAATTCCTGATTCGGACATAGCAAGACAGGAGGAGAGAAAACTTCCTTGAAATATTTTTGATTGATTAATTGTTACTGATTAAGCTCTGTTCATGAATACTCATCAGGTCATGTGAAGATAGACACAGCAATCAGATCATACATGTAATTACCAATAGCAGCTACACTGTCCTGAATTAGCAAGCTTCAGCTCACTCTCTATTACATATTTTAATTTAAACCGTGCATGAGAGCAGGGAAAGGGGAAAACGCTTATTTACTCTCAATATATATTTGCAGGACTGTTTCTTCAGTATTGTCGTCATCATGAGGTTGCCAGGCAACCACAAGAGAGTCCATTAAGTCGCTGCTTGCAGCCAAGAAATAGTCCGGCAGTAAACCCCCGTAAAACCAGAATTTTTTTTTGTCACATTTTTGTATAGATTAAACAAACGAGATACATACTTAGTTATTAGTGACCTTTAGAGATGCTGGTAGGTGGATTTCATTATCTATAGACAGAGCCAGGCTAACAGTTTCCCCTTGTTTTCAGTCTTTATGCTAAGCTAAGCTAAACTCATTGGCTGCAGACTCTATTTTCAGACAGGTATCCGTCTTGTCGGCAAGACAAAATTTCCAACTAGTGCTTTTAGTGCTTGTTACTATACAATAAGTGCACGAGGTAAAGTAGCAAGAAAGAGAAGGGGATGAAAAGATGAGGGTCCAGATACTTTTTGAACAGCTGAGTCTTTGGTCTCAGTTTGAAGATGCTGAGAGCTTCTCCTGCCCCAAGAAGAAAGGGAAAAAAACAGAGCTCTTCAAGCTACCAGAAGGAGCTGCTCAGCCTCTGTTCAGTGCTAAATATGGCCCTGTAGTAACTATGTCGATTGTGAGGAGTCACAAGTGCATCTCCACAGGCATTCAAGGGCACAAACATACTCATACAGATGCAAACACACTCTGTTGCTGTACCACACACATAAAAACACATATTCAGGCACACACACACTGTCTCACACACAGTGATTTCATGAGGAAGAAAATAGGAGCCTCTGTGTTCTCCACGATGAGCAGCGTCAGTTCTGCCTCTGCTGCCTGCAATGTTGACTGCAAATTCTAAGCTCCAATTGTCTTCTTCTGGGCTTCACTGCCTCACAGGGATCGCATCTGATCTAAAAGAGAACACTTCGTGACCCGTAGTCATATGTCGGCATTATGTACTATGATGAATCACTTACACACAGAATAATCATGCATTTGAGCTATTTAATTACACACACAGAAAAACAGTTTCTTGCTGCCTCAAACATGTAGACACAGATGTGGATATCCAGATGTGCTCCCTGTGTCCCTGTGGCTGAGATATGATAAATGTGGAATAAGAATCACCCTGGTGAAGCTGTGATTTCTTCCTGCATCGCTGCAGCAAATTCTAATGTCTTTTGACTCCTTTTGATGGTATTTCCACCACAGACTTTTTTTTTCTCTCTCTGACATTTTGTGTAAGTACAGTAACTTAGAAAGTAGCCTTGTTAATGAAAAGTCTGTTGTACGGGGAAAGTAAGTCAATCTTGTTCGATCGAAGTTCGCTTAAAGGCCAGGGACTTATCTTGTGTTGCTGTGGGGTGAATCAGCGTAACACCCCTGGAGAGGACACCACACTATTGCAGCACAGATCTCTAAAGCAGGGAAGCAAGCAGAGGGTTATCAGAAGCCATTTTGTAAGCCTTTGGTGAACTCAGCAGGGCATCAGAACTCACAGTTTTATGTCAACAGCTTGAACCACTGACACTGTGCTCAACTCCAAACTTAACATATTTTATTTTATTCTGGGTTACGGTCCATAATAAAAAATATTATTATTAATCTGGGGCTGTATTTATAATGCCTTTCAAAATTATTTCATGTTTCAATTTTTTGTTGTAAACTGTAAACAAGATCATAGACTTTTGTGCACGCAAGTATAATGACCAATAATAATAAACCTCATGATTATCGTACGTTTTATATGCCCAGCAACTGCCAACTACTGTGTAGCATGGAGAAACACTTCAGTGTTTTGTCAGATTTTTCTCATCAGTTTTTATTTATTGTTGGGGAAGCTCATATCATTGATGATTTCAAAGACAAACTATCAAACACATGAAAATCACAACAGTTCCCATGGTAACAGATTAAAGGCTTCTGGCAATAATGAGAGCAGACTACAGATGTGGGCTGGGGATATGAAGATATAAAGAATAAGGGAACTCCAGCAGCACAGTGTACGCGAAGAGTGTTTTTGACACGGGAATTGATTTCCTAATTGAATGTGTTTGAGGTGGAAGCAGATGTGGAGGAATTCAGATGGAAAGATATGTGAATGCAAAAGATGGAGGAGCCTCCAGGGCTTTCCCTTTTTGCTGTGAAAGCCCTGCAGGCATTTTTTTATTGCAAAGGCAATGTTTGAAGACCAAAGACACAGTGAAGAAAGAGGGAGGTCAATATAAAGAGTAGTACATAAATGTTATGCACTTAACTATGATTCCTTCATGCTTTGTTATTTTTCTTCCATCCAAACCTTCTCAACCACGTTCCTAATCTGCAGCTCCACCCAAAGCGACCCCTCAGCCACTGTTGGCAAAGTCAGAGACTTGGCTTCTTTTCGTCGGCATTTTCGGATGGGTTTCATGACCATGCCGGCGTCCCAGGACCTGTCCCCTCACTCTTGTGCCTCCGCCATGGCGCCACGCTCGCAGTCCTGCCATGCTGTTGGTGCAGGGGATACGAGCCTGGAGAACGGAGATTATTCTGACACCCAATCCCAACATGGTGGCCGCTGCCCCCCTGCCAAACCCAAACGTCACCCCAGCACTCGCCTCAGCTCCTCATCCGCCGACAGCAGAGGACTTCCTGAGACGCCGCCTCCTCCGTCCTCTCACTCACAGTCCAAACACTCAGAGAAGAAAAATGGTAAGAAATGTGTTTTCAGGTGCATATTCGACATATAAATATGATCTTTTTTCTTGACATGCATTTTTTGTTTCTTCCAACAGCCATGAAAAAGTCGGACTCTGGAGAGATCGGAGGAAAGAAGGTGCCTCCTTTAAAGCCCAAGAGAAGTCCCAGCACCCAGCTTTCCTTTGACCCTCTTCCTCCACGTGTGCCTCCTTCTGCCACATCCTTGCCTTTCCAGGCAGCAGACTCTCAGATTCAGACAGGAGACGGGGAGGATGAGCCAGTCTATATTGAGATGGTGGGCCAAGTGTTCACCAGAGACAGCCAGACGGCCACCCCCCACCCTGTCACCCCTGTGGCCACCACGCCTGACTCTGACTCAGACCAGAGTGAGGCCATCTATGAGGAGATGAAATACCCGCTGCAAGAGGACAGAGAGTCCCAGAGACACCTCCCTCCAAAACATGAGAAACTGAGAAACTCTAAACACTTTCATGTCACCCCTTCCTCCTCCAGCAGCTCTTCCTCTCTGCCACGCCCCTCGTCTTCCTCCCCGTCGTACTCCAAACCCAAAGCTACTGTGTCAATCTCCCATTCATCTCCCCTGCCTTCCTCCACGTCCTCCACCCCTGTCCCACAGGTCCTCTCCGCCAGTCCGCACACCCCACGAGCTCCTACTCCCTATCTGCTGCAAGGGAGTAAATCTGAACCCGAGTCCAACACAAAGATCCCCGCCCCTTTCCCCAATCTTCTACAGCACCGGCCCCCACTGCTTGCCTTCCCCCAGCCGGCAGCAGCCTCCAGCGGGGTTGGGGTGCAAAACAAGGCGTCTGCTAAAATGGGAACTCAAACATCCAGCGTGACAACTCAAGCCAGCAACTCCTCCTCCACTTCTTCTAATGTTCCTGTATCTGTGTCAGGCTCCAAGGAATCATCAGGAGGAAGTGCAACCCAGCAGGACAAACACAGCAGAGAGGCTCAGTTGGGCCCCGCTCCTGGACTCAGAGCCAGGAGCCACTCCACACCTCTGCCTCCCTCGTCCAAATCCACCTCCCCTTTCTCCCATCACCACCACCATCCTCACCATCGCCCATCGCACTACCATCACTATCGCAAGCCAGACAGAGGTGACTCCCCTGTTCCGAACAAGAGCAGTTCTCAGACTTCCACAGTCCAGACCCAAACCTCAAGCACAGGCAGGGAAGGCAAGTCTGTTAGCTTCCTCTTGAAGTCCGATAAAGGAGAGAGGGACAAGGATCGGGACAGAGACAGAGACAAGGATAGGGAAAAGGATAGGGACAGGGACAGGGACAGGGACCGAGATAGAGAGAGGGATAGGGATAGGGATAGGGATAGGGATAGGGGTAGAGACAGGGACAGGGAGAGAGACAAGGAGAAAGACAAGGACAGAGATAGGGACAGGGACAGAGATAGGGATAAGGACAGGGATAAAGACAGGGACAGGGACAGGGACAGGGATAGAGACAGGGACAGGGACAGGGACAGAGACAGAGACAGAGACAGAGACAGAGACAGGGATCGGGATAGGGATGGAGGGCCGTACTCCTTACAGCTGGATCACACTCATTCCACTAACAGCCAAACGTCTCAAAGCAGCACCAGTTCAACCCCTACACCATTGTCCTCATCCCAGCGTCCCCATTCTCGCCCCCATCTTCGTTCTCACACTCCTCACGGCCTGCCAGCGTACAAGCCTCCTTCCTCGGACAGCCCCTTACTGTGGACTTACCCCTCCGGTGGTTTCCGGAGACCGCCAGCATACGAGAGCCTTAGAGGAAGCTCTCAGACGCCGTCTCTACAACAGCCCTCAAGTCTCACTGGTGTAGGTGAGGGGGCATCCAGAAGTAACGGAGGGTCTGCGTCCCTCCAGTCAAAAGTTGGCTTCATGCCCTGGGACAGCAGTGCCAGCTTAGCTGCAGATGAGGGATCTTACTGGCCTATGCAGAGGAAATTGTCCTTCAGCCATGGAAGCAGAGAGACAGAGAGTAAGTCAGAGGTCATTTTGATTACGGAGTGAAAAGAAATCAGGCTTTTCAATGCACTTTAAGTTAAATATTTTGTGAAATATTCTGTTCCTTCCCCTGTCGCAGAGGATGAAGGCCGTGCGTGGAATGGCAGTGCTGATGCCCTGTTAAGGATGGATAAGGAGGACCTCGGCATGGGGTCTCGAGGAGGTCATTCGGGAATCCCAGTCCACTTCAGTGGTGCCACCAGCAGGGCCCTTGGTCACAGTGAGTCCTTGGCCGGTGTGGATAGCAGCCCGGGTTTCAGAGCCCTGCCCAGAGTCGGTCTGCCTCTTCCCTGCCAGACTTTCCCTGCCTGTCGCAATGGAGGTAAGCAAACACTTAGTGTTCATAATCTTTTAGTCATAGCCTTTAACCACAACATCCTATTTAGAAAGGAACTCTAGCAGTGGATTTACATGGGGATTCTTCTGCTGCCTCTGTTGTGGTGTCTTAAACGTGCACAGCTTACTTTTCAAGTCACATGCGACTTTAAATCCCCAGAATTTAGGATGGAGGTGGATATTTCACATTTAAGTTACTTTTCTACAAGTGGAGAATTAAAGAGAGAGAGACTACTTCCTTTCTCTGTCACAAAAGCTCTGCCTCCATTACATCCTCTTGTACTGACATTAGCCTTGAAGTTCATTGTCTCTCTGCATCTGCACTCAAGGCCTTCCCCCAGCAACAGAGGGACACTGCTTACCTTGAGAATGTGCACAATACTTTCACTGAAGCAGAGCCAATAACAGAAGTGTTCCTTAAACAGGTGCACATCCCTGTACACAAACATTCACTAGCCCTGGTCCCATTTCATGGTGTTTACAATGCCCATTGTGACAAACCTGGTTGTTAAAATTAAATTTTAAGTAATATACAGAGAGAGTGTAATCTATATTGCCTGTAAGCGACTTAAGTAAACAACGTATAAAGCAAGGTCAGAGAGTGGTAGTTTCATTTTACAATTACATCACTTCTGTCACTTCAGTGTTAAACTTATTTTTTAAACATGCAAATATTTCTGTAGAAACTGAATCAAGATCTAATTGTGGTTAGGTCTTGATAAACAATTATTGTTCATTAGTGGAAATTGCAGATTAGATTCAGTACCAAAATTAAATTATGTGTTCCCATTCAATAAATTTTATGGAAATCTGTTTACAAAATAATATAAGATATCCAGCTGACACGCAAACATTGACAGAGTGAAACAGGGTGGTACAGGAACAAATCTCTATGTAAGCTTACCTTATTATTACTGTGGTATTAATAAAAATGTGTTGCTCCAATATCCATTGTTCATAAGTATAAGGTTACTTTATAATTGTCTAGTAGCTTAAAATATAATGAGCCCGATGTGAAAAAAGCTCTGTCAGCGCAGTTAGACGTTCACAGGTCTGTGTGTCAGAATCAAAAGTTATATTCCAGTGTTCTCATTAGCAGGCACACAATGTAATGTTTGTTTCCTTACAGAAGTGGGGCGGCTGGGCCGCTCCTCCTCTGCTGCTGGAGTGAGACAGGTGGGTGGAGGAGATGTCCAGAGACAGAGCAGCCTACCAGCACGAGAAGCCCTGAATCAGGTGAATATATAATACCCAGCCTTATAACTATAGACTCTATTAACTTCATTCATGGTAGATTTGGGAGTGAACATTAATATTGTTCTCATTATTACTTCCTCTTCTGCTAGAGACAGTGCTCCTGCAGATCTATTTATAGCTGCTAGATATGCCCACTGAGCAGAATAAGGTTCTGGCCTGCCTCACAAGAATAAGAGCCACAAAGGTATATGACGTAGGCTCATATGTAATCAAGAAATAAGAAAGAATAGTGGATGAGAGAACATGCTGTACTATGTTTTGGAGTGATGAGCTGCAGTCTTCTAGCAGCACATTTTGCCCAGATTCTGGCTGCATAGCAAGTGCTGACGCAGTTTGAGTGTGCTGCAGAGACTGTCTTCATGCGGCTGGTTGACCCTCCCTCAACCTGCAATAGATGAAGCAGCGCTGCATCCTGGTGGTCGACCAGAGGAACTGCAGTCTTATTCAACGCGCTCGGATTGGTGGTCACTGCTGACAGTACTGCAGTGATCATGCAGGTTGTTTAGAAATGTAAATACTATTGTAGAAACACTACATACATTTGCTGACTTGACTTTTTACTATGTTTTCAGCTGCATGGTCTGGCCCAGTCTCAAGCGCCCTGCAGTCCCAGCAGTCCCAGTGTGTCTCGGCAACAGCAGCAGCTTCAGCTCCACCAGCAGCAGTTACAGTTAAAGCAGCAGCTCCAGCAGCTTCAGCAACAGCACCACCTGCAGTTGCAGTTCCAGCAGCTCGCCCAGCTGGCACAGGGACAGCCTCCTGTCAGCGGGGGCACCACCCCATCCGCAGCGCAGACCCAGAGAGACGGCAAGCTGCTGGAAGTCATCGAGCGTAAACGCTGCCTGTGCAAAGAGATCAAGGCCCATAGGCGCCCTGACAAAAGCCTGTGCAAGCAGGACAGCATGCCCATCCTCCCTAGCTGGAGACGGACTCCTGAACCTCGTAAGACTGGCACGCCACCCTGCCAGAGGCCGCAGGCTGTCGTGTGGGACACGGCTATCTGAGGTGGAAAGACAGGCCAGCAAGTACAGTACTGAAGAGAGACTAAACCCACAGAGGAGTTGGAGATGGTTGGACAGTTAATATGAGATGGGAGTAAACATGGGTTTAGTAGAGAGAAATTTGCTCTTTTTGTGTGATAAACTGATCTGAGAACAATAAAGAAGGTTATTGGAGACTTTGAACTTGTTTGTGGAAAAAACAAAAAACAGGTTGATAAAAGAGGTGAAGAAGAAAAAGTGTTACAATCAGACTAAATTAATCTCTTACCCGGGTGATTTGTACTTGCTCTGTACTATGTCCTTTTTGATGTGTTCTAATTGCCAATGATTTTTTGCCACAAAACGCCAGTAATATTGCTACAAAATGAAAACACCAACTTAACAATAATGGGTGGGATGTTTTCTGATATTGGTGTTGCCAAACTTCCTCCTGACTACTTGAGACATAAAGGAATCATGTATTTTCTCCAACACTCAGTTGTCCAACAAGCCTAGAAACTACTCTGTGGATGAGAAAAGGCAAGACTCATTGATAAGTTATTGAAGTGTTTCTCGAAATCGTGAATGCATACGAGATGTCTTGGTATCAATAGATTGTCATTGTGGATGCAAATAATCATCACTGGGGAGTAAAAGCTACCTACTGTATCTGTTTGCATATTTGTAATGTAAATCTATTTACTTTCTCAACGTTTCTGCAATTTTATAGCAATATGCTCACAATGCTGGAGCAACATAATTAAAACTTGTGTCAACTAGCCTAACATACATATCTAAGACTTAAATAAGTCATATTTACTGTGTCATTCTCTGCATGTCACGATAGACATACAGTATTGTAAAAGAATATGTGTAGAGATGATCATGTCCGACTTTTACATACAGCAGATCTTCACTATGATAACATGTGGTTGTATAAAAAGATGAATATATTGCCTGGGGGTATTGTGAGAAACGGCGGTGTGACAGTCCAGCCAAATATCGGTACAGATCAATGGTACAAAAAACTTCATCACTCATGCTTATTCACAGTTGCACATTAGTGATTGTTCCACCACACAGAAAAACAAGCACTGACACCCATCATCACAGACTGTACAATATGGTGCAACTGACAAGACTGTGAGTATTGATCACCTCAAACAGAATGCTGGAACAATCTGCACAAAACATGGTATACGCTTAGGAGAAATTAAACCCTAATGTACTGTAAATAGATATGTACAACTGTATTGAAAATGTAGCAATTATTTCCATTTTCATACTTGTAATCAATACATATTATGTAGCATATACTGTATAAACATAACTTTGTTCACTTGTTTTTTCTAAAAGAATTAAGTACTTTATCTGCTGCAGCCAGTCCATGCATTACTTATAGTTCTACTAATAAACGGTAAGCCCTCTAAAGAAAGGCACAGTCCAACAGTTGTTTATTTAAATTTATGCAAGACTCCCTTTAAGCTGTGTTATTGTTTTATTTTTTTCTACATTCATTTTTATTTGTGTACAGATTTCAAAAGCTCCTTGTCTTGACATGTTGACTACTTTGCTGCTATCTTGAACTACTGGTGTTGTTCATTCAACTACATGGTGTCGCCATGAGAAACATTATCAATATAGTGGTTATTGTTACATATTTGTTTTATTTCTGAAAGCCACGTGAAATGAAGTTTGTACCTTGAAGAGTGAGCCCTTCTGTAATAGTATTAAGGCACTTGAATGTCTCTTGGTTGTTGTTGTTTTATGATAGTTAGCACTAAGCTGTACAGTACAGTACACCCAGTGAAAAGAAGACCTATCTTAATGTTTGAGAGTCACTGCTTGGCCTTTTGTTTTAGTTCCACCTGCTTGTGTTTGAGGGTCGAGGTTTTTAAAGCTTACTGAGTCCATTTTCAAACAAACACAGATCAGGGTGAAGGAAATGGGCAAGTGCAATGCATGCAGAGATTCCTTACACTGAAAATGTTCCAATGATACTGACTATTGTGCCCAACTTCATTTCAGATACCAAGTAATCACCTTACTATGATTCCTTTCCACAGACTGATATGGAACCCTAGGTATCATTTCCAAAATAGTTTACAGAAGCTGTTGGTTTTGTGTGTCTTCTAAAACAGTGGCCATTATATGAGTGCCATACTATATTGATATGGTAAGATACGGTGTACCTTGGAAATCACTGTAGTGCTATATTTGCATTGATATTGTCATTAAAAATAAATTTTATATTATGAACTTTACACAACAAAGAGAACTGTTGCATGTTTCCATGCCTCATGATGCTTCACAGTGGAGGTGGTGGTGGTGAAGTGGACATTATGTTCCCTCTGCACTTCTGCAGCAGCTGCTGCAGCATCCTCAGTGTCCATGTGAGGGCGCTCCACTGCTGCTGGTGTGACTCTATACATAATACTACAGTCGCTGCTTCAATATGGCACACAACCAGTTGTATACTGACTCATAGTGATTCTGCAGACCTCAACCAACCTTCATAGTTTGAATTTTAAATTCTGGCAGAAATATCCCACTGGCAGCAAGCACCATAATTAACCTACAGTTTGTATTAGCTGTAGCCCTCAATATGCAACCAATGCTTACATGTCCTATGGGGTAGGTGAAGCACACATTTGTCTCAAAATGTCCCAAATTAAAATCCACGTTAAGGTTTATATTACATACGATTAACTTCAACATTTTATTTCTCATTTATTGGGACTACAAGAAGATAAACTTATGGCAGAGCCGGAACAAACTAGACAGGACATATAATATAAATATTAACGTCCCAGTACACACTTTATGTACACTTTATTAAACACAACAATGGGGGACTACAGGCCTATTTATTACTGAGAAACACCGACACTCTGGGAGTCTTTTGAGAATATCAGACGGCTATTGAGTTCGTTGTTTCGTTGGGGGACGTGACGATACGGACCTCGGAGCCAATAAAAGGATGCCCTCAGCCCGCGCGCAATTCGCTGCATAGGTTGTCTTTCATGCGTCGAGCCTGAGAGGAGACAGGATGCGGCGCAGATGATTGGCCAAGTGGGAGGAGGAGGAGGGAGCATCTCTGCCGGGAATGGAGGATGAGGTTGTTGGAGGGGGAGGAGAGGGGTTGGAGATTTGGGGGGGATGTAGAGAGAGGCGAAGGGAGGGCTTTACCGCAGTATCACTAGATTTCTGCACCACTCATCAAAACTCTGCGGCATGCGGACAAGAGCTGGGGGAGGGCAGTTACTGGGTCTTCACTGGGTGTAGGACCGCTACCTCTTACTGCTACTGTACACTTCTGCAGTTATCATACAGGCCACAGTGCTGGTTCTACTTTAATTCCCATTCATCTGCGCGTCAATTACCTCTCTTCTGCTCATAGCTGCGGAGGTACAGTATCTCTCTCTCTCTCTCTCTCTCTCTCTCTCTCCCTCTCTCACTCACTCGCTCATCCTCCCTCTCTCCCTCTCTCTCTTTCTCTCTGCTGTCTGGCTCTCATTGCATTAGGGCGCGTTCATTAGAGGTTTAGGGTCCGAACTTCATTGTATGAGAAAATGGCAAAGGATGGAGAAAAAAGCGAGTGGAAGGAGTTTATATGGAACCCGAGGACGAGGGAGTTTCTTGGCAGGACGGCGAGCAGCTGGGGTGAGTACTGGTCCAGCTACAGCAATGCAGCAAACATGGTCCCTGGGCTCTGTAACAGGTCTCTGTCATAGTCTCTTAAACCTCTGCTGAAGGCTCACCATGGTGCGTCAAGAGAGGATTCCTTCAGATATTACAGAGTGTATTTATTATAACAAATTCAGCCGGATAGAGCTCGGTTGGGCTGATGATTCCCCCACAGTGTGCCTGTGATGATATGTCGCTGTGCACTAATACAGTCTGGACCTGAAACCTGAATGCGGCACCGCTCCTGTGGAAGCCGGCCGAAAAAAAAAAAAATCTAGTTCTGCCTAGTTTCTTTATTTATTTATTAATTTGTGGCGGTGATTTCCCTGCGCAATGCGCTCAACATAAGGGTGGAGGCATATGGTCTTATTTTACATTTGAATTAACCAGATTACTGCAGCACTGCTGCTGGAACAGGTTCCTCTCTGTTGCAAAGTGCACACCATCAGCTCCTATCTGTGGAAGTGCTTTAGTTAGCTTTAACATGAATTCTGCTGCAGGGAAGACTTTTTTTAAAGGGAGACTGAAGGTGAGCAGAAATATGTTTGCTTTCCTGCAGCTTTATCTAATGAGCATTCAACATGATGTCATTCATTTGTCTGGCTTCCCCCCCTTCCCCTCCACCCCTGAGATTTTGAGGGAAAATCCAATCCCAGCTTCTATTTAACACAGGAGTATTGCCATAAACCGTCCTCTTGTCTGCCATACAGCCAGCCTGCAACTATTTCAAACATTCATGAAATGATAGGGCGCATATGGCTCTGTTCTAATGACATTGGAGCGTTTTAATCTGGATAAAGCCGAGGGCCAAATGCTATTTGTATCACCTCCAACCCGGCCCCTCCCAGTGAGTGTAAATCAGTGAGGGATTTAATCCTAATCTAATGACTTCATTGGCTGATGGGGAAGGTATCAATTCAGGATGTAGGATCTAGCAAAGTAAATCACTTTCAGGAATTTATTTTATTTTTGATCTTTCACCTGGAACAGGATCTCGATGGCAACAGAGTTTGTGGTTGGCGCAATGCTGACAGTGATTTTACTTGCAGTGGTATTCTGGTGATAATGTTTCATGAATGGACATCGTACTATTAGTGCAAACTTGGAAATCAATGACTATAGCGTCCTTTGCTGGAATCCTCCCGCAGTGTACGACTTAATCCAGCTCAGTGCGTCCCAGGTGCTTTAAGGTCTGGTGGCCTTTTTAAGCTGTGCTCTCTAAGGCTTGTTAATTAGGCTATTTCTGTAGTTTGCCACTACATGTAGGCCTGAATTTCACCTCAGTACTTTCTCATTCTCCTGATGTTGCATACACTGTATGTACTGTACCTCTACTTCCACTTCTGCTGTCAATCCATCCATTTTCTATAGCCACTTATCTCAGCATGCACTGAGAAAACACCACTGTCAGGTTGCCAGTCTTTTTAAAAAGCAAATCTGTTGTTCATACTTTGTAATTATGCAGTGTAATGTATGTTCAGAGGAGCAGATCAAAGGCTTCTTTGAGGATGAAACACATAACCCTTCCTTGTGTGTTCTGCTTTGTGTACAGAGCTAATGATATGGAAATAGCCTTGATAAAGTAGAACAGTCCTACAATTTTGATGTTACGTTGCCACCAGCTGACACCAGGCAAACATGGTCAAACAACTACTTCTATATAAAAAAGGACTAATTAAGTGTTCTGCACCTCCCACTTCCAAAAAACAACAAAAGGCTCCTATTGCAACATGGGAAAAAGCCTCAAAGGACCAAATAAGCAACAAAACCATGATGCTGGTCTTGGTGTAAGATTGCAGACCATATGCAAGATAATAAATGGTTTAACGTTATTAGAACCACAGCTCAAAGCTATGTTTTCTTTCATTTTTAGTTTTGGGGCCTGTTTGATTACAAATTTCCAAAGCAATTGAGCAGCATGTCCTGCTAATTAATTCTGAAAGAAAAGAGACACCTCCTGCCATTATTACTGAAGAAAGGACAGGCTGCTGGACCATCCCGCCCTGGCCTTTTGTTCTTTGCTTTCAACTGCCGTCTGCAAACAAAACCAGGGTGAAAGAGAGATGCCTCCCTGTCCATCATCAGCACGGACTGAGAGGGCAGACTGTAAACCTAACACCCTCTTTGCCAGGGGGGAAGCCACCCTGGCTGCAAGCTCAGCCCTGTATGCAGCACGTGTGCACATCCAGTTTCCCCTGGGTGGTTTCATATTTGCGGTAAGCACAACACCCCCTCTGGATGACGGAGGAAAACACTTAAACACTTAGTTTTGTCGTATCTTATCTCTGATGCCTCGCTCGCTTTAGTGCCTCCAGCTTGGTCAGGGGCCCAGAGAGCTGACTCTGTATATATTTAATGACTCAGCTTGGGTCTTTTCCATGCGACAGACGGGACGCTCTCTGCCATCTTACTCAGCCATTCATTCATGTCACCTCGGATTCCAATAATTCTAGAAACAATGAGATGCAACAAAAACACAAAATCATCAAGACCACTCTCTCTAATTGGCCCCTGTACAGCAGCTTCCCCCTTGACATTTTGTTATGGATTCCTGCAAGCCTGGCTGTGTGGGGAGGCAGATTCAGCGTTGAGCACTGCTGACAGAGCGAAAGGGCTCCACGCTGGGGGCCATCTAGCAAAGGCACAGGGGTCAGGACACTCAGTTGCTACCCAACGCTGGCCTCAGGTGTTGATGCTTAAAATGAGGGATAGAAAATGCTATTTATGTTTTCCTGCTCTCTCTGTAGACAGGAATGCCTGAGATGGGACCAAACAACTGCTTCAAAAGCATTTGATTTCCAAGTAGAAACAGCACATCATTGGGTTGATTGATACTCTTATCTAACCTGAATAAAATACATATACAATTTTCATTTTAAAGGTGTACATTGTCCATTTATCGAGCAAAAGTTCCAAACATTCACCAGCTCCCGCTTCTCAAATGTGAAGATTTCCTGATTTCGTGATTTATATTATGTATGTTTAATATATTTTGGTATTGGACTGTTGATTGGACAGAATGAACAATCACACAATGCCACCGTGGAAATAGTGATGTCACTATTTTTACCATTAATCAGAAAGAAATTTCACAAATTATTGCCAAGAAAAACAGTCATTAGTTGAAGCCCTGCTTTCTGTCTAATGTAACATTATCACTATTATCTTCTTACACTGTTGATAAAAGAGGCCTACTCTATGATGGCCAGTAATCTCCTGACCCTGTGGCCCAGTCTCCAGGGGGTCCTTGTTCTCCCTCCTCCTGTGTCACTCTCTGTCATCGTTCCTCCCCCTCTGTAGACAGGGCAACTCTTTAATGAAATTGGTAGCCATCCAATCCTGGTTTAATTCTCACTGTTTCTGGCTTGGGGTCGGACCACAGTTCTGTCAGATGAGTGCGAGAATGTGAGGAAAGAAAGCATGAACATATAATTTATGTTTTTGGTTAAGTGACAACAGTGACCTAATTTCCGACCATGTTGTGCAATTAATGATATTTTAAGGACCTAAAGGATGGTTGTTCATGTGTGAGTGAGATAAAAAGAGGCAGATGTTGCAGGCGGAATGAAGCGCCAGTAGTTTAATAAGGATTAACTGGCCTTCTGTGAATATGATTTGGTTAGAAAGTGACCACACAAATAAAACAACACAGCCGGAAACGGACTCCATTATCAATTCAGATGTAAGATTATTCATACTCAAAATCTGTGTGATAATTATGAAATGGACTGCAGATGTCTGGCCAATGTAGCCATAAATCAAAAACTTTCCATTTTAATGCACAGCCACCAGCTCCATGACAAAGACAAATCTCGTTGTTTTTTCTGTAATGCATAATAAATCAGTAAAGGCATGAGGCTCATACATTTATCGAGCAAGCAACACAAAAACACAGGCAGTATTACATTGTGTTTAGACATGTTGGAGAGCTGAGAACCGCTCCACAATGTCAAGTTCAGTACATAATACTGAATTATTTTCTACATATCCACATTGTTTGTCCAAATCTGATCAGAAGGGTAGGGGTGCTGCTAGCATTGCTTCTGTAGCATCAGTATGCTGAAATAACAAACTGCTTGCCAGTGTAATGCTTAGTTTAACAGTATTCTCAATAAATTGTTGTTTTTTTATACATTTATTCTTAGACAATACACGCTAGTTACTACAAAGACCAATTTGCACATTTAAAGATGGAATTTAGCCTAACTAAATTGAATTTAATTGGAGTTAAAGAGACGTTAAGACTACAAATACGAATACAGACTTTAAACCTAGCATGATAATGTATGAGCGAGTGCATCACAATTTAGAATTATATTAAGTGTAAAGCAACTTTCGTAAAATCAAATATATTTGCTTTATTAATTACATTTGTATTACTTACCTTTTCTAAATAAGCTATAGATCTACCTATTTACTCTTGAATAAGCTTAAAATGCCCAATGTACAGCAAATCTGTTCAACTGAATAATCTGTGATAATAACTGAATTTCTCACTGATATTGCATACAATTGATACAACTCTTCTCTCTTTGTCTGCAGGTCTTATTCTTCTCTTCTATGTAGTTTTCTACATCTTCCTGGCTGGCATGTTTGCACTCACCATGTACGTCATGCTGCAGACCTTGGATGACCACAAACCAACGTGGCAAGACAGGCTCTCCACACCAGGTGCAGTAACGAATAATAACACCAACTGCATGAACACAGGTCACAGTCTGTGCCGTGGTGTTGTGAACTCCCCTGCTGTCTCTCTGTCACTCACAGGCATGGTGATTAGACCCAAAGCAGATGAGACCTTTGAGATTGTCTATAACATCCATAACACTGAGAGCTGGGACATGTACGCTCAGGCCCTGGACAAGTTCCTGTCACGTAAGTCTGCTTCTCGCACAGTGACTCAAAAAGCTTACTGCTGTGGATTATCCAACGATCTAGAATGAATTGTTTTTACCTAATAGTAGATAATTCCTTTACAGTCAGCGGGTAGGAGATTGCCTTGCACCAGGGTTTTAGTTGAGTCATAAGCTCTTACAAACAAAATAACCCGCTCATCCCTCCCGCTGTCCCCCCCTGCAGCCTACAACAACTCCGTCCAGGCCCAGAAAAATGACGAGTGCACCCCAGACCAGTACTTCGTGCAGGAGGACAGTGGCGATGTGAAGAACAACCCGAAGCGCTCCTGTCAGTTCAACCGCACAATTCTGGAGGACTGCTCTGGAATGAATGACCGTTACTATGGATACGAGTCGGGCAAACCATGCATCATCATCAAGCTGAATCGGGTATGAAAGAGAAAGAGGGAAAGGAAAGGGATGGTGTTGCTAGGAGACATGGAGTGACTGAGATAATAAAAACTGTTTGGGTATGAGGAAAATATTATCCCAGTAAATTAAAAACAAAGTCAATATCAAGATTATGTCATTTATGGTGGATTTCTGGCATATCTTCTTGCTATTTTAAACATTCCTTTGTGTTTAAACAAGAGTGAAATGGGAATGGTGCTTGAGATGTGATGTCTTGTTCTCTCTCACCAGGTGATTGGGATGCTGCCAGGAAAGGATGGACAGGCTCCGTATGTCACCTGTGGTGCAAAGGTAATCCCTTTTTGTCTTTCACAATGAAAGGTGTAACATAACAATTTGGATTTTAGCCCATTCATAGCTATTGTGCCTCACTCTCATCTGCAATATGCCACCGATCGCTCATCTCCATTATCTATCATGTCTGTGTTTATATTGTTCCATCTATCATATCGGTGTCGCATGCCACTTTGTCATTTACACTACTTGTCTTTTTTTCCATTGTGTTCCATTAATTTGCCCACTCAGAGATACAAAGTTGGCAAAGATGAATGGGTAAGAACAGGGGAAGAATCTGTGTTTTTAGACTTTAGATTATGTTTAAACATACATAGTGGTAGTACAGATTGTAGATGTATGTATAATATATGTATCGAGATTAGGTGTTTTGCATTAAATAGACTGCTGAACTAGAGTGTGGGCGTGGGAGATGAGAATTAGAGAAAAGAAGGAGATCAATGAGGCTCTCTTCCTTCTCTCCTACATGAAGTGATCTTTCAGGCTGTGACTGATGAAGTTGTTTCACCCCCTCAGAGAGAAGACACTGAAAAAATTGGAGAGCTGCTGTACTTCCCTCCAAATGGCACTTTCAACCTTATGTACTACCCTTACTATGGCAAGAAAGCTCAGGTAAGATTGTGTCCAAATAAATCCAAATATTGCTTAATTTGGTAAATATTGCTGTTAATTACCGAGCAGCTTGTATAATGAATCTCCAGACAGTTTATTAAAGACGTACCAGACAGAATAAATTAGCTCCTGTGCTTAAAGGTGTCTTTGGATCTGTTTTTACAGGTGAACTACTCTCAGCCTTTGGTTGCCGTCAAGTTCCTTAACATTACTGCCAATCAAGATGTCAACATCGAGTGCAAGATCAACGCCAACAACATTCCCATCGGAAGTGAAAGAGACAAGTTTGCTGGAAGAGTGTCTTTCAAGCTGAGGATCAACACTAATAACTAGGTTGACCTTTTTCCTCTCCTGAAAACTACTGTCTTCATTCTCTGCAACACTGCACATACACAGAAAAAAATCTCAGTATTCACACCCTTTTTAGGATTTGTTTACAACCCCCCCCCCCCAAATTTTGGGCTAGTCTAGTCATGTGAAGAGGTGAGGCGAGAATAAAAGGGTGGTAATCCTGTCATTATTTCTGTTTGTGAGCTTTGGGAAGAATTATTTTCTGTAAATTAGTTTGAGATGACGTCTATTTATACTGCATGACAAACTAGGGGATGTAAAGGATGTGAAGGATGTGTTTTCAAAGTTTGCAAGGATCAGCAACATTATCACTTTATTGCTGCTCCCCTCCTGCTGCCTCCTTATAGAGTATCCCTCTATATATGAATATACACAAGTTACAATCCAAAATGTGTATATCTACAGTATTTATACGGTATCATAACCTTATATCAGTACGTCTATTTTGTTGCACTTAAAAGAATAATCCAACAGACTCGCATATATCTTGATGGATGGATGCAGAGATGAAGCCATTTTGCATGTGTGTATTGTCTTTAGTGTGCTATGAGGGCAGGAGGCCCCTGTGTCCCACCTCTCTACTAAGTGTGAAATAAGGTTATATGTAAGCCACTGACCACCAGGGGGGACCACACTGTAGTCTACTAAACCTCACGCACAGCAAGTGTGTGTTTCTACAACAACATACAGTTACGATAGGCATCTCCAAAGTTACAGTAGAGGTCAAAACCTTTAAGAGTGTGTGTGCGTGTGTGTGTGTGTGTGTGTGTGTGTGTGTGTGTGTGTGTGTGTGTGTGTGTGTTTGCGTGTGTTCCACTCACATTAATTTCATACTGTAGGTCGGGAAGTTGCATGCAATGTGCAATATTCATTAAGTGGCGTACACTATGAATGCTTGAGTCCATTCTTTAGATGAAGACTTCCATTAAATAATTATTTGGGGGTCATTTGATATTCACATTGGTTGTTTGACCTGAGAGCAATTTATAAAGCAAATGTGATTCACATTTGGGATGCCAAATTAATTATGATAGGAGGCAGTACATCAGTCGTGTCTCAGATGTCTTACCTCACAGTAAGTTGACAAAAACATGATTTCTTTGGCCCCAAAACTCAGTCAGTTAGCTCAAACAACCACCTGAATGTCAAATGAAAACAGCAAGAAGGATCCTCCCGCTGCGCAATGACGTTACACTCTCTGTCACTGTGTCCTAAAGTTAAACCAACAGCCATTTTCTAGTGTCTCAGTTAACATGAATATTTAGAGGGTTTTTTTGCGTGTGTTGCATCTATTTCATATATCAGGAATAGATGCCTTTGTCATATTTTGTATTGATTTGCACTGGAAGTGTGCTTTTTTCTTTTTTTGTGAAACTGAATTAATTAATGTACATTTTTGGAGGAATGGGATCTAGAAATGTTGTGTTTGCTCCCTTTGTTTCATTCATACTCATTATCATCCTCTAAAATATTCATCCAGGATATCAAAATGTATAGTTTCCATATTCTTTTTAAGGTGACAATAGTCTTGAATATGAGTTGTTAGTGCGTCAGAGCTTTGTTTTATGGGTCTGTAGGAAATGATCAGAAATGGAGATTTGTTTCCTTGACCACCTAGAAGGATATTTATTTTTCATTTAATTTGTTTTTTGTTGTCATGTTCTCCACTGTTTTTAATCAGTCTGAAGGCAAAGCCATCCTTTTAACTAGATAACCAGTTTGAACAACCAACCTCATGAAAAAAAAAAAGTCATAGATTAGGCCTGAATTTGGTGCTGGAGCTGTTTACTTAACGTGCATTCATTGTGCAGTGCAGGCACACAAAATTGTAAGAAACACCTGCAAATATTGGCTAGAGAAATCAGTGGAGTCACACTTTTAAACTCAGGCACATTATTTTGGCTCGGCCACAAACTTGTACCAATGCGACTGTGATTCTGCCATGTCATCGCAGCAAATGTGGAACACAAGCATCTGTTCACTCACATTAAGGTCTGGCTCGACTCCACCACTCAATTTCTCTCAGAGCAGCGTGTTTCTCAGTATGCTCGCAAATGCATCCCAGTGGTCTAAATAGGAACTCATTATCTGATCCAGACTTGACAAAGAATGAAAGAAAGACAATTACATCTAATGTGATTGTCATCTCATTCATGATGAAGGATGTGCTCTAACAGTCACTTTTCTCTTTGCTTTTTGAGACAGTCCACTGACCAATTCACATGCATTTCTCCTCTGGGACTCCTGCAACACTTACTTAATTTCACTGTAATCTCTTAATCTGGTCGGCTAATCCAGAACAAGCACGCTGAACTTCTTTACCCTACTTTGTCGCTCCTCCTCCTCCTTGTGTTGAACGCCTGATTCACTCTCAACGTCCTCAAAACGGATAAAGCAACATTTCTTAACTCCTCATTTAATTTCCCCCCCAACGCATTCAAGCCTATTTTACCCTAATCACTAATAAATTAATTGAAGTCCTTTTAAATCACAATGCAGCTAAATAAAATGTGCTTCATCATTTAATTGGACATTCTTGTTTCACTCATGTGCATGTGAAGATTAGTTCTTCAACCAAAGATCTTCATGACAGTTTAAATTTTATTTATTTGTGCTGCACTGACACATCCTCAGCATCAGATCCGAGTAAGGATCTCATGCAGGTGGAGGGCTGAACACCCTGTGTTATTAAAAGGCCTACTCTTATATAATACGCACAAAAGGAACATGTTTCACTACAACATAACAGTGCCTCCTGGTGGACAGACTGTGTTGTTCCCCCAGTGTCACAGAATGTTTTTTCCTATTATCTCCATTTATCTTCTTTTTTTCTGTGATAATTTGGAGATGTCCTCAAAAAGCAATATATTTATTTCTTCTGTGGCTGTATGATATATTTATTGGAAAGGCTGTAACAAAATCAGTGCAACATGTTATCATCAAGAGCAAGGAAGAAAACGGAAAGATATTGATAATGCATTACGGCAGTTTTGCTAGTGGGCATTATCACGATGGAAGAGTATAAAAAGTGGTGTTTTGTTTATAAAAGAGTATTTTTATTGCTATTTTGTTGTAAAGAGGAAAGAAATGTATAAGCTTGGATTGTATTTTGTCATGGGAGCTACCTGGTAGGTTTTCATCATTTCATTCAACGAATGGCAACATGTTAACAACTTGGTTGGAGAAGTTTTTGTTTTTTATGTAGAAACATTGTTTTGTCATTGTTTGAGTCCTTTCTACTTTCTTAAATTGAGCTCTGAAGCTTGCACTGAATGTTTTCTGAACACTGGGGTCTATTGTATCCGAATTAAGTTATTAAAAGTACGGCGAATACGTCAGAATGAGCTGTGCTTTCAGAGAACTTTCAAGTGTAAAACCTTCAGAAATTCTTCAGGACAAAAACACAACAGGGCCCGACACAAATGTCAGAGAGAGTCAACTATTCATGTTTCAAATAAGGAATCATTTCAAGAATCCTCATTACCCCCACCTAACCCCCTTGTCTTAAATTGTATTATTGCCTAAGACTGTGGTGCAAGGATAGTTCAAGAAAGAAATCCATGGAATTTGTTGTTGAGATACTCTCGCCCCAAAAGGATGATAATTCTATTCTGGATCTTTATTTTATGCTCTTACTGTATGTATATTTTTGCTCATGTTTACTGCAAACCAAGATAGATAAATAAATAAATGTCATTTAAGGGAACTCAGACTCACGCCTCATTTTTGCCTCTGCCTCTCAGTCATCTTTTAGTGTTTGGTGTCATCATGGGATGACAGAAAGAATTTGATATTCAGGGACAGGCACTGAGATTAAGGTGGAATGAGCACAATCGAAATCTTTTTATCATGGCTCATTATGAATATATATATATGAATATAATGTAGAATGGCCTCTGTAGGGGACAGAAAAAGAAGCCAGCCAATGTCAAAAGTAGCGTCAGGTGGATATAATCTTATGTAATCTCATTCACTGTAATCCTTACAGCCTACATCCCTACAGCGCCAGTGGTCACCAACGGTAACCTCTGCACACATACCAGTACATAGTAACAAGTGGAAGAAAAAGAGGAGGTCCAGCTTTCCATGTGACTGGCCTACGCTTGGAAATGTGTGGATCCTGTTTTAGGTTGGGCTTTTTTTTCTCATTTGGGAGTTGCTTTAATACAGTCTACTGCCAACTGCTTGACAAGATTACAGCTGAAGTGTACTTCCGCTTACTGACCTTCAACCAACTCTTGTCTCCTGTTCACTCTTGGGCTCTATTCTTATCTCTCGATTCTTCACTGTCTCTTCTTGAAAAAAGAGAGAACACAGTGCGGGGAAAAGGGAGAAAGCCAGGATTACGTAGCATTAGAGGTACTTGTGGGTTTAAAATAGTCTGATCAAGAGTAGCACCTGTGTCAAATACTTGTGCATGCTATTCTCTACATGTTACACCCACATCCTATATATTACAATCCTGAATAATCTGCAACCCTTTGGTTCTCATCAGTCCATCAGTTCAGGGCTTTTTCTAATATTTCAGCCATGACATAATATTTTATTACAGACAAAATAATATATCTATGAAGGAAAATCCTTTTGCATTAAGGTTCAAAAGCCTGTTCATATCCACAAACTGTGTCCAGGTAGGAGGGTCACACCTTATATCCCTGATGTTCGAAAAGTGAAGATTAGAGCTCTGGACCCTTTGCTAGAGAGTAGATAACATTACACAACAGTTCAGTGGCATTTAAATGTCAAAGTTCCCACATTACTGGACCAAAGTACGTCAGAAAATATGCAACTAGATTCTCTCTTCTTTTTTCTTTTTTCCCAGATATTTAATCATTCTGAACATGATACAAAAACTCACAGTGTAAAACTGAAAATGAATACTCCACACTCATGACAGAGTTAGTGTGAGGATGTCCTTTGTTCATTACATCTTTGCGTGTAATATCTCTCTAATCAGGATAGATTGGTCCCAGATTTTAGGGCTACAAGGCATCTAGACCTAGCCGGTTTTGAGGTAGCATAGTAAATCACAGAGTACAATTAAAACAGCAGTCATTTTTAACAGAATTTGAATGTAAAAAACAAAAAAAAAACAATCACATATTGTTTGTGGTTGGCACAAAAACATGAACTGTGCAATCTGATACAATCCATTACAAAATCCCTGCCCCTGTGACACAGCCTAGAGAACATTATAAGCTTCACTAATACTTTATTTACTGCAGGGTTGTTGCCATGGATTACTTTAGATGTGTGGTGTTCATGCTATTGTGTCCACCTGCTTAAATAATTCACAATCTGTGTCAGCTGCCTCCTCCTCTAAGTTGTGATCTCATATAATTTGATGAGGAATCTCTACAGACGAAAGGATACTGACTTTCAGCATTAGTTGATTGTTGACACAGCACTTTGGTTGGGAGGAAAAAATATGGCACGTGTGAATTTTAGCAGTAAAAAATCAAGTTCATGTGTGATGCCCAGAATATCATGAGGCAGTGCAATACATGGTAAAACAGTGTAAGCTGTACGTCCAGTCGGACAGCCCCCTTTACTATGGCAAGTCCAGCATGCCATTTTCCTCCAGGGCTTTCTGTGTCCTGTCATAAACTTCTCCAATGGCCTTAACCACTTTGTTCAGCACTACGCTCAGATCCTCTTGGTTCTGCACACACACCAGCCTGAAGAAGAAACCCCGCTCTGGCATGGCAATGAAGGCCAGCTCGGCAGCCCTGCGTACAAACCAGGTGTGGTGGTTCGCGAGGGTGTTCTGGTAGGCCTCACGACACAGCTCTGAGGGGCTCCTGAGCCGGCCAGCAACAGGGGTCTCCGCCAGCTTCTCCAGAAAGAGCTTCAGCCAAAGCAGAGCGCGATGCAGACGCAGAAGAGTCCTGCATCCAGAATCCGTCTGGTGGTCAAAGTCCACCAGTCCTTGGCTCAGCTCCACCAAGATCATGGAGCGCACAGAACGATAAGCACCAGTGTACTGTGAGGCCTCCAGATTGTTCTCTGTTTTCACAGTGTTTACTGAGTGAACATCTAGGCCCAGCTCTTCTTCAGGGTTCTTTTCTGCCAACTGGGCTAGTTGTCGGATTATAGAGGTCTTGCTTTCTATCTCCTTAGATATTAGTCCCACCATTGGGCCAAGAGCTTCCATAAATCTGGAGGAGTACCACAGAACAGGATGAATCATTCAGTCCAGTCCAGATTATCGCATGAACCATAAATTACATCATTTTTTCCAGTGGCTGTAAATGAATTAATCTCTCCTGCTTATCTGATGATCTTACCTCACAAGCTCATCCCAGCTGGACAGATACGGATGCAACAGCACGTCGGAGGTGTCAACTGGTGCAGCCAGCAGGTGGGAGACCAGAAGAGACACCTGGAAGGTCTGACCAGGGCACCCCTCCAGGACCTGCGGCCCATCAGCCCCATCGGCCCCGCTGCTGTTGTACAGCTGGTGAAGCTGACAGTGGGGGGATGGGAGGTGCGTGAGTGCCGTGAGTGTTTGACAGGGGACAAAGAAAGGGAGAACGCGGAAGTGATTCACCACATTCAAATTGGCCATCTGCTCCACAAAATGAACTTTAAGGAGGAAATGCAGTAAGTGGTGAACTGCTGTATAATCTGCTTGTGCTCTTACCTTGTTCTCCTGATTATAGCCTTTTAAACAAGAATCCCAGTGGTAATCCAAACCTCCCTCTGCAGTGAGACATTGTAAAGAGAAACAAGGCAACAGTTGATTTTTATTTGTATTTTCCCACTGAAACTAGACTTAAATGCTATGTCTCAAACACAGAGACATTCTGAGCTGTATGGGTGTATTCAACACATCCAAATAAAATATTTATATTTATATATTCAATTAATATATATTATATTATATATTGCATCTCTAAATTAATTATTAGGAATTAAGGGTCAATGGAAATTTCTGCACATTAAACCTACAGTTGTAGGTGTAATTGTTTTTAGGACACTACGGTGCAGCAGAAACAAGCTGTGAACACAACACTGACATATCATTCACCTTTTAAGTTGATATGGCAAACTTGTTAACAAATAGTTGCTTAATTACACATCCAGCAGTTGACCATTCGAGAAACATCGTCCTTTATTTAGAGTCATGTTTCTGGCAACCTAAAGAATCCAACATTCAGTCTCTTTCAGCTCCGGTTTTGGTCTCTACCACATTCTTAAGGAAATATGTCCCTTTAGCTGCTAAATGCTCCACTATGTTCTCCAGCTAGTTGCTACCTGTGTCTGTCTGCTGTTTGATGTTGAATGTATAGTGGGTTTTTAGAGGTCTTTCACAAAAAAACAACACTCAGAGAGCAGAGAGATTGAATCAGAACAGTAAAGTTGCAGACTGGAAAGCTTAACAATGAACTGAAACTCACTATAAATCTCTATAAAGCCAAGGAGAGATTCAGATAATTCTCTATAGGTTTATCACTATGAGAACCCCTTTCACAATGTTTTCACATTGTCATTTGATACATTGTAATATTGATTATAGCTGCTTTAAATTAGATGAGAGCATAATTTCTTTTTTAATGGCTCATTAACGTGCATTACTGTCATGTGACAGATCTGCTATCCTCTTAATATGGGAAATTATGGCTGACTCTTACATTATTGATTAATTCGAGTTATGTTTCAAATCATTCTGTACAGCATACAGCACAAAGACAAGCATTCAAGATAAGCACCCATCATGTGCATACAAGTTGCTGGGATTCATTTTGTGCCCTATTGGGCCACAAGACCCTTACACACACCTTTATTATACTATATAACAAGATAAGTTGTAGCTATGAAAATGTCCCAGCATGTGAAGTCAGCTTACTGAAGTCAAACTATTTCTCTGTTTTATTTCGGACCTCCTGGCATTCCCTCAGGGGCCCCTGCAGGTCTTCAGACCACATGCTATTGACAAACTTACAACCAAAAGCTGCCATTAATATTGCTCACAAATCTGGTGTGTCTGCAGCAGAAACAACCCAAACGATCAGCCCCCAAACTGACTGTGGAGGACCCTCCTGAACTACTGAGCTTCCTGTCAGGTTGTCTCACTGAACTACCAAACTCCCTCAGTTCAAATGAATGTCTAACAGCTGTCAGAAATGTATTTCCAACTTGACAGTGGCCAACTGTAGAGTAGATGCCAAAAATGTCAAGAGGAATGTGAAGTCTAGCCATGACAAAATAAGAGCTGTATCTAAATTTAAGTTTCTTACTTTACTTAACTACTGTTTGAGGAGGCAGAGCTGGTTGTTCATGCTTCCATCTGAAAACCTTTAAACTCAGTTTTCACTCTGACTCACAAAGCTTGAGAAAAGGATCACATGGTCACAGTTGAAGCATTTTTAGACTCTTTACCAGTTCCTATGAAATTTTGTAAGTTATTATCTTACACTAAAAGATACTTTTTTCTTTTTCTTATGAGCTGTACTTTATGTTGTCAAACTATAATTCTAAGCCAAGCCGAGGTACAGTTAAATATTTGTGGAGACTTCTTCAAATAGACAAAGGTTCCTTTGTCTAAAAAATAGCATCACATGTAAATATTCTCTGTTCTATTCAAGGCAAAAGTTTATCTGACATGACTGAAAATAGATTAAATAAAAAATAAGAGTAATTTAGTCATATCACATGCTGATAACATGTCAAAATCCACATATGAATTTTGTTAAAATTATTTCTGAGAGTAAAAATTGGGTGGTGTGACCACCATGCTTGATTCTGCAGCCACACTACATGTGACACATTCCTGATCTGGAGCATATGCATTTCAAACAAGGGAGGGATTGTATAGATTAGCAGTACTACATAGAAACCACACACACACACACACACACACACACACACACACACACACACACAGAAATACTCACGGAGCCACAGGGAGCCGAGGAACAGCAGCAGGACTACGATAGCTGCAGCAGCCTTGCTTTTAACACCCATTCTGAAGTCCAGTTTTGGGTCTGCCAGTCCCTCTTTCTCTTTGTCCCTATATTTTAATTCCTCTGTGTCTCACATGAGTCCTCGTCCCCTTGCACTGGCTGTCACCACAATTACTTCCTACCGGACCCCTGCCTCTGACCCCCCCTCCTGTCCTCTCAAATCTTTCATACTCTTCCCCAAAACCCTAAATAAAAGGTACTCTCAACCGTTACACCTCAGAGAGATTCTATCAATGTTTAACTCTTATTTTATAGCTCCTGCTGTCCCTTGCCACACTATTACAACTTAGCCTATTATGGCTCTTTCAGTCTTTCTTTGACTTTCCCTGATTCACGTCTCTCCTCTGTCCTGCCTTTGTTTCTAACTGGTTTGGAAGCTGCCTGTGCCTTGTTGTGTTGCTCAATCTGAGGGTCCAGAGATCAGCCGAGGGCAACCACTGGCTGATAAAGCATAGCCAACGCAGCTTGTCCGCCAGTAACCCTTTCCTCCAGATTCATCTTCTAGATATGCGCAATATTCCTGGTCAGTTCGAGTAAACACTTGCTCCCTCTCCTCTCCTCCCACCACCCACCCTCCTCCCACCTCCTCCTCTTGCTCTCTCTATAACTCATTCACACACACCATTAAGAGCACCACCACAACCACCACACATTACAGCAGTGCTGACACACATTTCCGGAAACATGTTGGTTTAAGTGACAGTATAACATGAAACATATGACTCTCTAAACTTAGACAAATGTATTTCCCCACCACCACTTTGTTTATTTTTATTACTTGACAACCCAGGGTAAATTCTTTGTATTGACTTATTTTGTGGGATAAGACAATCTCCTTTTGGTGGCTAAACAGAGATACCAAATTCATGTTTGTCAATGAATAACAAAGTCTAACCAAGCTTATCCGAGCTGAGACTGCAAAAAGAACATGTCCATTCTTGCCAATCTAATTCTAAATATGACAAAGACATTTGTAGCTTCACAGAACAAAGAGGGAGCAAACAACATGAATGTATATATATATATATATATATATATATTAAATAATAATAATTTCATCTTTTGTCAACATATCTTTTGCAAACTTGGTTAATATTCTATTATATTTTTTATTTTAAATGCTCATTATTTCAAGACTTCATTTGATTATTGAAGTCCAAAGTCTGAGATGTATCAATAAAACAGGATGACTGATGTAGCGGGTGTTCCCGAGATTATCACTATCAGGGAAAACCCAGTGATTGGTCCGTATCACTGGGTTTGCTGCCGCTGCTGTGGGGGGAGGTGAACAGACATTGAACTCCACGCTCAAGCCAAACCACATGTGTGCTCATGAAGAGGGACTTAACAATGGTATTTTGCAGCGAGGGAGCGGGAAAGTAGTGAAAGCAGGGGCATTAATGACTTGCTGGGAGGGGCCGGTCATGGGGCTTTTAGTCTGTGCAACCAATGGATGATCCCATCTGAAATAGGCAGCGACTGACAAGGAGAGACTGAATCCCTCTCAAAACATGTGACCCTTTCAAAAGACTTAAACTGATTGACTCCACACAGCTGGTACTCTCTAACTAAATGTTCAGATGAAATAACATACATTTTAAAATAGATATAGTTTTTATGTTTGACATGATGCCCAACAGCACAGTAGTAGTAGACTAAAGCACTTGGTATGAATTCACACAGTGCAAGTATGTTTAAGTTCAGTAGAGCAGGAAAGAGGTATTTTGTCACTGTCAAATACCACCACACTGGATTTTCCATCTGGAGAGTCAAAACATTTAACTACAGTACCAGGATTATCCTTGTAATCCAGTTTTGTAGTGTGTTAAAATCCTAGGCTTCGACAAAGGTATAAAGTTTAAATTTAAAGGTCCAGTGTGTTACATTTGGGAGGATCTATTGGCAGAAGTAACATTCAGGTATGTTTTCATTAGTGTATAATATATGTATTTTGTTACCTTACAATGAGCTGTTTTTATCTACTGACGCTGTTGGTCGCCTTCAACAGAGGCCACCATATTACTACAGTAGCCCAGAAGGGACAGACTAAACACTGGCTCTAGATAGGGCCTTTGCATTTCATGCCGCCACTGTAGTTTCTACCTCAGGCTTGGAAGGGGAAAACAAAGTGAATCTGCAACTACATTGCTAGAAGCCACTAAATCCTAAACACTGGCCCTTTAATATTAACAGACCTCACCAGAACTGGATGATTGAATATAAAGGCAATAGTACAAACATTCAGAAGCAAAATTAAAAAAAAAAAAGTGATGCGATTGTTAGTAGCCACATTTCCACCCAAAGCACCAGGAACTTTGAGTCCCAGGAACTATATTTCAAGGAAATAAAAGGTTCCTTCAGCCTGTTGTAAGTTTCCACTGCAGTCTAAAGACACGGCAAAATTAGACAACTTAGGCTGCAGTCGTTTGAAAAGTAAACAGCTCTTTTCACAAGTTTTTGTGTGCAACTACACAACAACGATGACGTCATACAACACGTTGGACAGTCATCATTGTTTGTGCCACACCGTTTCTAATTCCCGTTGGATTTTGTCCAAGGCCTGGACTTTGTTGTCAGCCCATCTTGTTAGAATTCAATAAACACTACGTTTATATAACTTTTTTTCGACTTTATCCCAAGGTCAAAGTTTAAACATAAAGAGGGAAAATAAAAGTTAACAATCTCCCTATCCTTTTTATGTGAAATAATAAAACAATGTAAAAGTTATACCTGTCACAAGATTTAAAATAAACATACAAAGTCATCCGATGACTATAAACAAAAAAAGTGACATCCTGGTACATTCAGAGTGAGTTTGACAAAAGATGAACATATTAACAATGCAAACAAAGTTTTCACCATGAACATATTAACAATGCAAACAAAGTTTTCACCACAGATTCCACAGTCCTTCACTTAGAGCTTTCAAAAGCACCAGAGCCGATGCTCCCTTTTCGGTGAGACAGTCAGCGAGTTGGCCTTTTGTGCCTGACCAGAGCTTTGACTTTCTTGCTTTGTATGAGCTCCTTAATGCTGCTTATGTCCAACCTGACTCTCTTCTCTGTGACCTGTTTAGTTGACTTAAGGGCATCGAGCAGAGATCGATTGTCAGTCACACAGACCAGTGAAGGAGCATTCAGTTCAGCATTACCAGTGGTGAGCTCAGAAAAAAAGAGTTCCAAGAACAATAGCATTGTCTATACCATCTGACATAGCAAGTGTTTCTCCTACAAGGATGCTTCATACAACACGTCTAATTCTCTTGGATTGCCAACAGAGAGGAGAAAACTTCCCCCTTTCTCCCATAAGAACGATCAATGTCCCCGCGTGTACCTCCATCTGAAAGATTACCAAGAGAAGCATCACTGAAAACAACCAAGTTGAGAGTATCATTGTTTTCCCAAATGCTGAAACTTGAGGGTCACTTTTTCTGACTTCTGACTTCACTGTAGCATTTTTGATATTAGATGCCAAATGACATGAGTCAAACATAACATCCGGTCTGGTCTGCTTGGCAACCCATAGGATTTGTCCTATTTTTGACCTAAGCTGCTCTTTCTCAGTGTCATTAAGGGGGCATCCCTCAGTATAGCACGTGCTGGTTGCATGTGAAGAGGTTGTAGATTCTCAATGTAACTGTGCTGATGTACCTGAACTACACCATCAACAGTAGCAAAATCCATCCCTACATAGCAGAAATGCTCATGCTCCTCGCGCCCTACATGGAACGCAGACTTCAGTAGGGGAATCACATTTGTTGAAAAGTTTTGCGAGCCTGCCCAAAGAAAATCATCTACATGGCATGCAAGTACTCCAGTAACCTTAAACTGCTCGTCTAACCAATAAAAGACTGCTGGATCCACCTGCGACATTTTACCACCTGTGCCCAGCATGATTTCTTTGACTTTGTTATACCAATATAGAGATGCATCAGCAAGACCATAAACACATTTCTTTAGTTTCCATATAACATTTTCACTGCCTGCCTCAGGAGGGGGCCGGATATAAATATCCCTGGACAGCTCCATGCCCTGCAAGAATACAGATTTGATGTCCATAGAATGGACTTGCCACTAGTTTTGACAGATTACTGATAACAATAGCCTAAGAGATTCTGAGGCACAGGTTGGAGAATCTTTCTGTAACTCTTGCATATTAAGCTCTTCAAAACCTTTGGCTACTAGTCGTGCTTTAGGCACAATACCCTTGGGAGTTTCTTTGAGACTACAGACCCATCTGGTGGAGACACATTTTTGGCCTGCATTTTCAACCTCCTCAAACACATCATTATAGTGCTAATTCTTAATTTCTTCTTGTTTTGCTGCATCAAATGAAATGTCTTTTGTTATGAGTACATCAGCCTCTCTGTCTTCTGACTCAATGTTAAGGCTACCAACATGTGACACATCAACTGACTCCTTTTGTCCCTCACTGCCATCAGGTTCAAGATGTTGTAGGTTATACCAGATTTTGTGCTTTCCTGTGGCTTTTCCTGCTCTGCCTAAAACTCTGGCTGTACGACGTTGAATGCCATCATCTCTGCTCACAAATGTTACAGTCTGACCTGTTCTTAACTTTACACCTGCAAAATGGGCAGGGTTACCACAGGCCCTGTGTTCTGTGTCAGTTTGTGTCACATTAGTTTGTGTCAGGGGTGGGTGCAACAATTCTCCTGTATTCACCTCCATGTCACTGATGTTCTCCTGTTCATTGTCAGTATCCTGGTCACTATCTGAGCTATCTACTGCATTGTTTGTCACGCCTTCCTCACTTTCTGCTTTTCTGTTAGCATCATCTTGTGCAGTCTGCTTGTCCTGCTCCTGTGTGTTCACCTTACAAAGCCTGGAGTGATGCACTCTAACAAGAATACCACCATGTCTTACAAATACAACAGCTCCATCCTGACCAATAACCACCCCTGGTCCCTTCCACTCAGTCCAGTTTGCTCGTTTGTAATATACTCTGTCTCCTGTCACATATTTGTCATCTGTAGGTCTGAGCTGCTTGCGAAGTGCCCTCCTAATTCTCTCTGAGCATTCGGCTTCAGTAAATGCTTTCCTGGAAGCATGCAAAGCTGATATGTGTTCTCCTACCCTAGCACTTACAGTGGTACTCTCTAAGGCAGGTAGCTTATCAACTAATACAGAGGGGAGGTTAGGATTCTGTCCAAATACTAGTTGATGTGGGCTGTAACCATGAACACTGAGCATACTGTTCTTGGCCATAAGGGCCCAGTCAAGAGCAGTGTGCCAGTCACATCCATATTCCCGTTTCACTTTCTGGATGATTTCGGTGAGTGTCTGATTGTGTCTCTCCAGAAGGCCGTTGCTCCAGGGACTGTATACTGCTGTTGTTCTTGTCTCAATATTGAAGTTTTCTGCCATGTCTCTGATTTCCTCATTATTGAATTCTCCACCGTTGTCACTGTATAGTCTCCGAGGGAGACCATGTACACTTATCCATGTGTGAATGACGGAGTTGATGATTTCACAGGATTTCTTTGTTTTCACAATGTTTCCAGCACTGAAACGCGTGAAAT